ATGTCACAGGTATTCAGTGTTTGACAACGCTTCTACCAGTAACACCTTCTAATATGTTTCGTTCCCACCAAGAGAAATCAAAAGACAGAGTCGAGGAGATCGGAAGAGTATATTTGGCGATGACCAATATATCGGGATTCTCTGATCTAATCTGGCTAGCGATTGTGGTTGATGTTGAGCACGGCGTTACTACACGTGATCTGGTGCGGATGCCTGACCGAGCGCCTTCAGCTAGATGAGTCCACTAAAACATATGGTCAGCATCCAATGTCGAAAACTTACAGAGCTATTTATTTTAGGGATTTATTTACCGCTACAGGATCATTGAGTTCGTATCTAATGGTTTACGTACCAAAATTGGAAATATGTTCACATAATATTTCGAGCTGATTAAAGTTAAACGTATCAACTATCGATTGCCAACTCAGTAGTTCATCGGTTGTGCATGCTATGAGACATTAGAATCCTAGGTTTGATAGGGTCGTAAATGTGCATTACTACTAATGAGTCCAATGCTAGTATCATTCCTTATGGTTTTACGTGGTCAACTAAGATCAGTCCGTGATGTCAACTATGAGTTATTATATTTAGTATAATTATGGCTTTTGTAGTTCTCCAAGTTTCCGTCCCATACAGTAGAACTGTCTTGACATATGTATTGAAAATTCCGACTTTGGTGTTGGTTGACAGACAGCTGTTTTAAATTCGAGATGTTCTTCACTTGTAAATATGCTACTCCCGATTTGCCGCTCCGCTCCTTCACATCTGCATCAAATCCACCGTGTTCATCAATGATGCTGCCCAAATGTGTGAAGGTTTTTACATCTTTCAAAGCTTCTCCATCAAGTGTGGTTCTACTGGTGCATGCTGTGTTGTATCGGAGAACCTTGCTTTTCCCTTTGTGTATGTTGAGACCTACTGCTGCTGAGGCTGCTGCTACACTGGTCGTCTTCTCCTGCATTTGTTGTTGCGTGTGCGATAGAAGAATCAGGTCATCTGCGAAGTCTAGATCGTCCAGGTGCACTCTTGGTGTCCATTGTATCCCGTGTTTCCCTTCAGATGTTGACGTCTTCATGATCCAGTCGATCACCAGGAGGAAGAGAAAGGGTGAGAGTAAGCAACCTTGCCTGACACCGATCTTTACTTCGAACTTAATAATTTAAACCTGAATTGTTATGAGAAAAGGACAACAGCAAAGTGAGCGAGTTTAGTAAATAACATTGGATTTAAAAGGGAGCCCGATTATAAAAAGACTTCAGTGATAATTGCGTGAGACAAATTGTTAATTCTACTTATTCATATCACCGTCATTTCTTCTCAGTGGTATGATGGGAAAGATTTGTAGCTCAGGTGGATGAAGTAAAAGTTTGTGCCGATATCATTCGGAATAACAATGAAAGCTCCACAACCAAACCATCCAGCTCAGAAAACAAAACACCAAAATTTCTTCGCAATCGATAATCTTCTGTGTGGTACGTTGCACTACTTAAAAATATTCAGTAGTTAGTTCACTTTTATCATTTAAGTTTATGCCGTACCATATCTCTCTTTTGCGTTCTGTAACATTCTGAAGTATTTACATGAATTTCTAATATTCAGTTTACTTAGTACAGCAAGTTAAAAGTTATCATAGTTGTTTGCAGTTTTCACACATTCATTGAATGTACGTTTAAGTATAATAGTTAACATATTGAATGTTCTTAGTTTCCAACGGTTATTGTTTACTTTAGAAATACTTGGTGACTATCACTTATATTATCAAGTTTTATAGCTGATATTGATATGGTTATTTCAGACAGCATTTTCCACTCCTAAATAAACTAACGTTTTGAATACTTGAGACACGTTATGAACAGTGGTTTGTAACTATCTTACACATATTTTCGTGATAACAATACCACTTTCTAAACAAAATCTCTATTTTAGAATCTCATTTCCCCGGGTAACTCTCTCATTCGATTAGAAGCTCAGATAGGATTTGAAGCAAATCGTTGTACATGACTTTATTTTAAAAAGTAAAATAAATGTATATAAAATCAGTCATTTAAATGACACAATGCATGATATGGAAATCATAATTAGTTGGTTTGGTTCATGTCAATAGTAACGCTATTCATGATTCCAAACATGATTATTAAAGGAATTGTTTTATATGATTTTATTCATAATCCGTCTTTTCCACTGACATTGTTTGGGTTCATTAATTATTACATTAATTGCTTTATTTTAAGTACCTGAACATTAGGTTACTTCAGCGAAGTTTTTTTATGGAATCACCAATTTTCCAATAACTAAACTACAAACGTTAAGACAGCCATACTGTATGGAGCTGAAACTTGGAGAGCTAGCACAACTACTGTCAAATATGTGCAATGTCTGTTGGCCGGATAGCATCAGCAAAAGCCTACTATGTAAGAGAACAAACCAACTTACAGTTGATGAGGAAAGTAGGAAAAGACGATGGAAGTGGATAGGACATGCATTACGGAAATCACCAAACTGCATCCCAAGACAAGAGCTAACTTGGAAACCTAAAGAGAAACGGAAAAGTCGGAAACTAAAAATATACTGCGTCGAGAATTGGAGGCAGATGAGAAAAGAATGAATACCAACTGGAAAGGATCGCTTAGGACAGAGTTGGATGCAGAATGCTGGTGAGCCGCCTATGCTCCTCCATGAGAGGTCACAGGCGTAAAGAAGTAGGTAAGTGACGTTGTGAACAACTAGCGAGAACTGATGAATTATTCTATTATCATTCTCATTTTCGCCTCATTCAAATTTAAAATGCGAAACAAATTGTGGAAAAATGCAGAACATTACTTAAGAATTACACAATTAAATTTCTGGCATAAATACAAATATGTACGATCAATTAGTGTTTATTGTAATATTATGTTAATGAAGTAATTTTCTATTCATCAATAATTCTATGGAGAATTCTGGTGAGTGGCCTATGCTCTTCTACTAGGGGTAACAAGTGTAGGTAAGTAAGTAATAGGTTAGTATGTTATAAGTTATATTATAAAGTTAGTATTCAGTGTGTTCTGATTATATCCCCCCAGTCTTTTGAAAACCAATGGTATAAGTTTATTTTGATGAAAGTGTGTGTGAGATCTCACAATGATTCACTTGTAGTGAGAACGAGATTTTCAAAATCCTGCTGGTACAGCAAAGAGAGGGGAAGTTTAGAAATAACTTGAACATTCGGTTTTCAAGTCGGTTTGAAACGCTTCTAAGCGACAGGCTTGCTTGAAAGTTGTTGTGTCAACAAGTAAAACAAAATAAACGTTTCTTAAAATTTATTTGTTTGACTGTGAAATAGAAAACGTCTAGCCATGTGACGTTCTAATCTGTTTTCATGATGTAAAAATAAAGACTTGCCTAAAGTATTCATAAAATCAACGAACTGATCAATCTAATGGTCAGATTACATTAGGGTATGTTTTATCGGTTAGTCATTTGTAAAAGATCTAATGTCATTCGATTTTTTGTCGTTCAGCTTGGCATAATATATATAGGGTCTTTAAATTAGTCAAGTGTTTGTAATTATCTTGTAAACTCAACCATCAGCTTACATTTGATAATTGTATTTATTACTCTTCTGGATAGTTTCTGTTAATCGAATTGGCTTTCAAAGTTATCATTTATAATTACTACTGGTCGGTAAGATAAGATACTACTTACGTCTTTACTCAATAGCAGCGAATTATTCAAAACTGCGTATATTATTTATAGATGAAAAGATCAAATACTTATAACTAGATAAACTGAGGTATATTGTACATGCTCTTTTATCAGTTACACATTTATAAACAAAACACACAGATGAATGGTTGCTAACATTGAAGAATAGTTCAGTCAAAGAAAAGGTGGAAAGAGCTTAATTAAGATGTGGACTATTCTATAGTTTCTGATTGTTATTTTAAACTATTGTTGTAAGTACAGACTACTAGGGTAAAGCCAACATAAGAGTTTTCATCAGTGACTAAAAACCTTAGGTGATATGGCTTAAAATCAGTTGGGATGAAGTTGGTAAATTTGTTTTTTATCACCCCATATTTTCGAAATCCCAATATTACACAAAGTCTACTCTTTTTTCTAAAACATTTTTTTTCGTTTATTTTTTCCACCATTGTTATACTGTTACGTTTATTTTACTTTTTTTATATTCAGTTTACTTATTTTATCTTTCTAAGTTGATATTGTTATAATTAGGGTTATTGAAAATTTATTTCAAGTTTCGGGTTGGTTAAAGCTGATTTAAAAAGTACTGCTGTCATCTTATAAAGTGTACCTGTCCTCACATATAAGCAAGTTCTAGAATGGGCGTTGAAAGAGTAGAGTTACGAACAAAATTAAACAAAATTCATGAATGTTAAAAGCTAAAACGGTGGCTAGGTAATTAATGTTATAATATGTTTAGCTTCAGATGGAAGGTGCACATAAATGAACATGTGAAGGAATGCAACACAAACTCAAATTACAATTTTAGTACTAGTTTACACAAGCCTGTGAGAATTGTCTTAGTGATCCTATGTTAAGCTTTTATTTAATGCGGGTAATGCCAAGGAGTAACAAAAATTTGCATGAAGACAAAAAGAAAAGTTATAAACAGAAATGAAGTAAATAAGACAATTTGTATCCAAAGGTTGCGATGTGGTCCACATATTTGAAATGTTTTTACAGTGCATTTTATACAGTAATGCTGATTTACGCTTCAACAGACTACGGGTAAACTGATCATGCCGATATGATATTTGAACAATATCCATTCACCTAGAGTGGTGACTGCTTACCATTTTACTTAGGAGATCATGACATTCTAGCACAATGTTTGAATTACTATTTCATTTGTGGTTTGATAGATATTTAAGAAACATGTCTCTATTCACAGGCCAATTACCGAGTTCTGGGTTAAACTTGAGTTGGGCTTGAAGCTCAGCTGAACATGAGTTACTCTGTTGATCGATCTTAGCGGAAAGACCTTGGAGAAAGCATACTTTTTTCCCAAGTGGTCCAAAGGCTGTAAGGCTTTCTGATTCGGCAGTTTGATTTGGTGTCTCATCTTCGTTTAATCTATGAAGAATCTTTAGATCAGGATTACAGACAGAAGTAAGCAGTCTTTCGTTTATAGTATTTAGGTGTCTTCTATTTTGGTAGGTTTTATTTTCAAAGTTTTTCAAGGCTAAAACAGATTAGAAAAATCTCGCTGTGAGTTTTCCGCTTACCTGTATGACATTCAATACCAAACACATCCTGGTCTAGATTTAGGTCAAGAACAGTACTTTTATGTAAATCATCTGCATCAGTAACCTGAATGTCGCAAAAAGATAAAGGTATCAACATATGTGTGAAGTTAACGTGGAAAATGTCTTCTTCAGCAGCTATGTTTTCTCTCTGAAGGTTTCCAATTTCATCCATGATGCGTTCCATCTTTTCATCAAGTGATTCTTTTTCGATTTTTAACCATTTGTTTTGGAGCATTTGTTGTGAAAATAATTTATTTAATGTGTCGACAGCATTTTCAATTACTGAGTTTCTAATATGCTCCGAAGAACACTCGATATTTGTTTGAACATTCAAATAACTCTGGTTTTCCTCTTTGGTCAAATATTCTACCATTGATTCGAAACGTTGCTTCATATTAGTATACTCTGTTTCTAACATTTGGATACGCAGTTCATTTGATTTCTTCGTTACATCAGAATACATTTGCCATTGTTTGAGCTCCAAAACAACATCTTTTGTAAGATTCTGTGTTAATTTGATTTCATCTTGAATTTTGTTAACTTCATTTTCCTCCAAATCTCTTATCTTCCACGTTTCAAGCAAGTAATTTTTCACGTCATCACCTGACACAGTAGTGTCATCAGATGTTGAAACTTTTGAGACTTTCAATAAAGTATCTTTGAGCATTTTTTCGCCTTCCAGTTTAAGTGTGTTGAGAATCTGCAACTTCTCCATAAGCATATTTTTAAGTGTTTCTCTCTTAAACTTCAGCCTAGAAAGCACATTCCGGAGGTTACCTATCTGGTAATCAAGAATGGCTTCTTTCGGTGTCAAGTTTTCTACCTTTTTCGGCTTTTTGACGGGGTTTTTGCTCTTACCTTTCTTTGGTGGCATGATATCAACTATGTGCAAAGTCAAGCGGCATTAGCAATTCATAAAATGGTTTGACAAAACAAAACAATATCCAATGGTATAAATAGAAGGTATTTATTTTATCAAGCCTTCATCTTCCTGAATCTCTGAATTCTATTTTATAAACTTTTTTGTCACATTGTATATTAAATATCTTTGTAGTGAACTAGTGAAAACATTGAGATTTTAGCTTGTTTAGTAAGGACAAAAGGCATACGGCCTATGTTATTCCTTTTTTTAATATGCTTCTGTAAGTGTCTAGTTTTCTCTTAAATGGGTCAGTTGAAGGTGCAGACACCATTGCTTCGGATAACAGGCTCCGAGAATTGATAACTTGGTGTGAAAACCTGTATGCCACAGGTATTTTTTCGTTCGTGGCATTTCTACTCACTTGCTGTGCCCTCTGAGATGTCCAGATCTAGTGGGGAGACAAAGAGAAGATTTGTTAGGTCCATAATCATTTCCTAGTATCATATACATCAAAATCAGATCACCTCTTAATCTGGAGAAGGATAGAGTAACGAGGTCTAGCTTTTCAGGCTGCTCTTTGTATAATAAACCCTGGAGTTCTGGAAGTGCATGGCAACTGCCTTCTGTACTTTTTCCAGGATACGTGAGTCTAATTCTAAGCGGGGGATAGGATTCTGAACGCAGTTATCAAGCTTATTTTTCACTAAGGTTTTTTATACTTTAGTGAACATTGTAGTATCTAATCTAGTGAATGTCCGTTTTAAAGCCTAGAGGGTTCCAAACCCCTTAGCTGAGACCTCCCGACAATAGGCTGTCGTCTTAATATCGTGACTCACTGTCACCTCAAGATCCTTTCGAGACCAGTTCACGGGTACAGGCACATCTCTTGTGGTGCACCTACTTATTTTTGTATCCCCGAAATGTATTCAGGCACTGCCATGTTGATAGGCATCAGCCACTCTTTAGACCAGCTAATTACAATATTTAAGTCTGTCTGAAGTGCTCATGCATCTGCGCCTCCTGCTATTTCTCTTCAGATGTTTACATCGTCAGCGTATAGTCACTTTGGGGACTCAACTATACTTGGTGGATCGTTTGCATGCAGTATAAAAATGACCCAGGGCAGAACCTTGAGGTACTCCACAAAGTACTGGTCTCCATGTGAAGCGCCTCGAATTTACTCTCATTTTCTGTCTACAATCTGCCAAAAAGTCCTTAAGCTACTTTAGGAGAGGTCCGGCAATACCTAGATTTTCCAGATTCAACAGCAGTCTATTTGTTGGCACATTATCAAATGTTTTACTAATTTGACGATATATACATAGTCGTTTATTCTTGTTCTGTGTTCATAAACACGCCTGCTAAACTACTTGCGTACTTCACGTCTACTTTATTTCTATTCCTTTACTTTCTTCCTTTCTTTCCTTAACTCAATTCAATATTCTTCTCAATTACAAAGATTCTGATTTATTATTATTCTATTATTATTACTCTCTTTTTCAAATATTATGCTAACATTATTGCAACTTGTGTATTACTGCATGTTTGAAGAAACCCGAAGTAGTTTCTTTACAATACTTATGTGCCCATAAGTTATTTGGGAATAACAATAATAATAATAAAAGTAACAACTATGGTGATAGCTAATGAACCAAACTCGTTGAACTGAAATCATTGTCCATGTTGACTCACCCTATCATGGAACTCAGGGTATACTGCCTCATAAAAACCTTTGGAGAAAAAGTATGTTCTCACCAAAAGCATAATATGTTTCGTATAAGGACGGAGAATAATTAGAATGGTTAGTCCTCCATTTCTAAGCCATATAGTCTCTGAAATACTCAATCATTGACGCCTTGGACTTTGAGGCAATCACTGATAAGGGCTGTAAATATTTTGGTGAGCAGGCTATCTAAAATTCCATAAAGATAATGATTTTTTAGTCGCACCACAATTTTCTTGAAAGGTAGTTCCTAGGTCTCTTTCAACAACTGCAGTCGTGATGCAAGAATCATATGTAAAGTGCTAAATTGATGCATCGTTGTCGTCCAATATTGGAACCCTAGATACTGGCGTTAGGATGGTAAAAGTTTCACTAGATTTTTATCGTTCTAATTCTACTAAGAGAGTGTATATACCTGAGTGATCTTGTATCTCATTTTAAATCTTAAGGTGATAAACTTATCGCAGATTTTGAGAGTAGGATGATAAGAAAATCGCCAGTTAATAGTAAAAAGAGAAATGGTTTAAAGTAAAAGTCTTGTGACTCTTCGGTTGTCATAGTGAGACGGTCATATAAATCGGAACGAAATCTCACGGTTCCTGATATTCCTAGTGGGTACTCTCATAGCAACTTCACCAGATATCCAATATCACCCGCGTATTTTAATTGCAGGGAATGAATTTGATAGTCAATCCTATCTAATGGTATTGAAAAATCTAAGGGGTCTGTATGCACGAAATGATTGTGCTTTGCTCAGAGAGTCGAGTCAATCGAGGCAGTCGACAAGTCCCTACAACAGGATCTCTTTCGAAGAGGGTAGTGATGAAATGCAGACGAAATTAAGCAATGGAATAGATAGTTTAAATATTATCGACGTTTGTAAATGAGGACAGCTTAAACATATGACATTAATTAAAAGCTTCCACATAACTATTCAAGAGTCTCGGTCCAATCAGTCAGTTTGTTTCTTATTCCGAAATCTTCTTCTTTCATTGTGGTGGACCGAAAGATATATTAACTAAAAAATAAAAATAAAGTTATTATGTTCAAATGTTGATGTTATAATATATCAGCTCATCTCTATACCATATATTTTATCAAGGTAGTTCGACAATCTATTCGTTTCATTCTGATTTTCAGGGCACGCCTCTCAATAAGAGTAGTAATCAGACGACTTGGGGGTTTATTTTTTCCATATTATAATCGGAACGTACGAGAATAACTATTACTTGTTCTACTGCATCTTAACGAACGAGTCAAGTGATCCCTAAGGGGAGACTATCCGTAAAGCACGATCCTGCTCTCTACAGCTTCATGTACTAAACAGCTAGAAATTGTTGAGTGTCAGCTCAAACTCAGTTAACCGTCGGATAGTTGCGTTTTACAGAAAGTCACCAGACATGGATGCCTACATAATCTTATCTTCCTAAATTCGTGTGTTCCAGTTTATAATCTTCTTAGATTTCTGTAGAGACTATGGACTGAAAAATATTCCGTGAGTGTTTCAAACAAGACTGAGTCATCTTGAGAGAAGTAATATGAATGATGTGTTGGCAAACAATGGACATATCACCCATCTTCGATTCGGGAGACTTACCACTGAACACTTAATTGTTCAGTAAAGCTTTCAAGATCGAAGATGTTTATTAAAAACCTACCTATATTTATATGCCTCGCGTTCGATTGTACTGTCCACCTATGTTTTGATGTTTATAAATTTAAGTATGAATAAAAACGCTGGAGCTAGGTGACAAGCTCCCAAATGAGATGAAGAGCTTTTGCTCATAAGGAATCCCTCGTTTCTTTTATCCATTGAGGATATATGATACGTGGCAGAAACAGAAACTTTGGCTTGACCTGTCGTTTAGTTTTTCTTAATAAGTGCAAACGCTAGAATGAATGAACTTGGAATCTTTCAGACTGGTTTTCACTGGACACTATTATTCAAGTTTTTGATTTTTTCCCATATGTTCAGTGGATTTTAACTCTGAATCCTGAGCACCTTGCTAGCTCCAAAAGACAAGTTTGTCTGATTTGATTATTCTGAAGATGAAGACCTCATTAATTGACAAAAACTACAATACGTAATTTGAGGGTATTTATATGAAGTTCCTCTGTATAGCTCACAACGCGTCTTTGAGATATTCGTATTATATTATATCAAAACACAAACTCTGTGCTCAATATAAACGGTTCTAATTAAAAAAACAGAACAAATTACATCAAAAATACAAAATACCTCAAACGGTACAGCCTGTGCTATACAGTCAGAAGTTTCTCTAACGCAAAGTAGCGCGCTAAACAATGAAAGAGACAGTTAATACTAAAGGGTTTGATACCTGAGAATCAATACAAATATTCCCAATAAGATGGGATCAAATATCTATCTGCAGGGATTGCAGCAATTCTCCCAAGCAGACAGTCAGAAGGTTAACAGTCACAAACTGAACCACGCCGTGACCTTGAGCTTAGTCAAACACAACCTTACTGTCAATGGTCCGGCAACATGCAATAGAAAATTAGGTAACAAAAAATAAGTCTTTAATCAAAATCACATAATAAAGGCTCAAACGGGGAAGACTGAAGAACAAAAGACATGGTTAAACGAGATCGAAACAAAGGTTGGAATACACAAAAGGGAGAAGGAACAAATAAATGAAAATACTGTTCAACAAAGAAGCTGCAGAGGGATTTTCACTGTTCTCTTTCCGTTACACCGGCCCCCAAAATCCCTCCAGCTACGCAAAGACACCTTAGAATACATTTCTGTCATGGCTCTCCTTACTAACTGCTCTATATCAATGGGAGGCACAGGACTTACAACAGTACGCCTGTACATCCATAAACCTAAGCTACAATCTACAATTACTCGGCTCCCTCTAGAAGGCAGAGCTTTCGCACATCTCTTCTTACTACACCTTCTCTCATTCGCACCATCACTGTTCTTACCAACCCATCTCTATCTGTCTCGCACTTATCAACCCGTCCCATTGGCCATGAGCCCCGAGTAGTTGCATCGTTAGCCACTAGAACTACATCACCTTCTTTTAAGTTTCTGTGTTTGCAAAACCATTTCTGCCTCACTTGCAGTAAAGGAATGTACTCTTTTATCCATCGACGCCAGAAGGTATTGGCTAAACAATTACCTGTCTCCATCGCTTTGAATACCTATCCGCAACACTACACTCCATTCCTAAACCATCACAGTCTCTTAGTAATAACAAAGTGTTTGGCGTGAGCGCCAAATCATCCTTTTCATCTGACGTCACAGGAACGATTGGGCGGTTGT